AAACGCTGAGATAACAGCGGCGTTTTGGAGGCCGCTTGCCTTTCGACGAGCAATGGCACGTTCAGGATGCTGAATAGCTTCCAGATGGCGTTCAGCACGACGCTGCGCATTCTTTTTGACTGGATTCGATTTGGCTTCGCCGTCACTGATCTGAGTATGCAGTCGGTTGAGGTGTTCAATGGACAGGACAGAAGTGACTTACAACAGCATGGCGCTTGCGGACAGGCGCGCTCTTCAACCGTCATGAGTAACCGACAGAACAAGATTGAGGGCGTGAAATACCTGAGACGCCTATCGAGATATGCTTGGTCAACGAGGATAATAGAAAGTGGAGAACATATACGCACTGGCGCAACTGCCTCGACTGCCTCTCCGTCGTCCTCTTCGTCCTGTAAACATCGTTAGTGGCGACCCAACAATCCGGATATATGCCTACTTGAATTATCAACCGGATTCGCCTCCTTTTGACGCGCCGGGGGGGTTTCTGGTCACGAATTGTCAGAAAACATGGATATATGCGCACGAGAAGGAAGGCAGAACGTGGGAACATCCAAGTAGTTTGCGACATACCTCTTCGTCCGAGTCTATGCTTGCATCGAGCGCTTGCGCGGTCACGTGGAGGCTCTGAAATGCGGTGGTGAGGTCGAGGCCGGTGTACAGAAGAAGAGCATACGCCGGCTGCTCCTCGATCGTCGTCGTCGTCGTCGTCGTCGTCCTCGGCATAGTCGACGTCGACGTCGATGTCGTCGTCCTTTGGTGGCAGAACATCAGTAAAAGAGGTAAAACACGCCAAACACGGCGCGATGAGGACACACACCTCGATACGTCGCCTTTTCCCAGCATTCCCAAGCCCGGGCTAGTTACAGGAATGTCAGGTTACTTCGAGGGCAGGGAGGGATGGGCAGGAAAAAGGAAAACGCGTACAGGACGCGACGCGACTAGGAGTCGGTGTTTGTGACTTTGACCTAAGGTTGACGACTTGGAGGCCTTCAGGAAGAAGGAAAATGGTGGTTAGAAGGTCGTGGAAGAGAGAGAGGAAGGGGAGAACACACCATCGTATCTGATGCGAAGGTGAGGAAAGAAGCCAAAGAGTAAGGGGAGTGAGCGCGCTGGCTGCTGAAAAGGACGGGCAGGCTGTAGAGGACCAGCAGGCTGTAGAGGACGAGATGGGGACGCGTTCAGTGACGACGCGTTTGGCTATCTCTGAGTTTGGCAGAGCTTGTCCTCGGCATATATTAATTGATCGAAATATTATATTTCTCGGTCCGCATCGCCCAATCCGGTCTGTTGTTTGCTCAAACAAGCCTGTCTCCGTCGTCCAACGCCTTGAATATCCACCAGCAACGAAATATCGCTCGTAGGCATCGGAGAGAACTTGAAAACTTGGATTTTTCGAACTGGAAATTCAGAAGGCCACGTCGTTCAATATCCAGCCAAGAACCGAGCGCAAAAAGAGGAACACAGCAGAGGGAAAAGAAACCACAGACGCAAAGAGAAACCGAGGCACGACTATCCATGCAGTCCAACGAGCGGATCCAAGGAGTACGTTCCATTGCAGTGAAAACGGCAAAAACAAGGGCTATCTACCTAGAAAAAAGGTCAGGAGCAATCGGCAAACAGGAGGAAACACGAACCTACGACCGAGTCTCCATGTCCATTCCCCTACGCCGGTCAAGAGCGCAGAGGGCGAGGGCGATGTCGACGTCGAAGTTGATACAGTGACCGTCACGGAGAAGCTTTCTCGGTTCCTTCGATTTGCGTCTTCGCCCGAAACCGGTATGGTCAGCTTGTGGTAATGTTTTTAAAATATGTATAGTCTTGACTGTCGATTGAGATTGGTCTGAGGTTTGATCTAGGTTTGAACCGACCGCGCTGCGACGGTATGAAGCCACGAACAACTTTAAACGGAGCGTGCAATCAGTAAACGGCTGGGAAGTGACTGCTGAACATACCTCAACACTGCGCCTTTGCAAATCTATACTTGCGGAAGGCGTGATGACTTGGCAGCACCATCCAACTGAATCAAGAGCGAGCCTGGCCAAGAAGATGCATCCGCGATACTTCTGGACCAGTTTATACGGGGCAAATGTTGACGACGTTGCACTTCGGATGTTCGAATACGGACTGGGAGGGTGAGCGCTAACAGAGTGCATGACCGCTGCACGCACCTGTCCTGCTCGCTGCGCTACCATATCCGCGAATTAACGCGCAGCTCGTCTTCAACCCCTACGGGATCTGTGGACCCCAATGCGTCGCATGAATCCCTCGATCGAGACATGATTCTGCAGTAAAGTGTTGGAATCCCCCCCGACGGTCGACGCATCCCATTGACAGACCCTCGTGCATGTTGTGGTCTTCGTCGCGATCGTGTGTGGTTTCGTTTCTCGCCGTCAAGCTTGCGTGTCGCCTGGGGTTCATGCGGTGAAGACTGGTCGCGTCGAGGCCGTTGGGCGCACCAGGCGTTGCGCGGACCAGGTGGTTCAAGACATGAGGCGGAAATCTCCGTGTTTGATGGTCTCCTGATTTCCGGCGCGACTTTCAAGTCGCCGGTGCCGCGCCTGCTCGATTTCGCCCACTTGGGCAGGAGGCAATTTCGCACAAACGAAACGGCGCCGCCGTCCCCGACCCTCCCTCCCAGGATCCTTCATCAATTCTGCATGCAGCTGTCCAAGTCTTGTTCAAATCTCCGCCAAAAATCAACGGTATCGGGAGACATCTGTGTCACTGGTAAGTGCGAGCTCTGGAAAGAAAGCAGTACACTTAATTTCACCTTCAGTAACATCGACGAGGTCGAATACTGTCCGTGCGTGATCGCCGCCACAACGGTCAGCTCAAGCGGAAAGGTGGCGCGACACCGATAGGCCGCATAATCGGCTCGACTACCCTCCCACTCACTGTGGAGCGGCTACTCTATCATCTCAAGTTCCGCATCTCGCTGCTCTTGGGCTGACACGGGCACCTCGGCTGGGTTCATGGATGAGGAGGAGATAGATGTGGGACGGTGCCGTATCTCTTTCGTCTGTTTTGGGCTCAATATTCTTCCTTCCCTCGCTCCGTTCGCTCAGGCTCTCAACCCGGCGTGAACTCGCCCTGCCCGGTACTCTTGGTGTTATTTAGCCTGGGGATGTGATCACAAGGTGCGCGAAGACTCAGGACTTATCCCACACCACACCACTGACGCGCCTTTACTTTCCAGTCCTGAGATTCCGATACTATGCTCACAGCCATCGAGTCCGCTCCCCCGCAAAGGCTTCTTCCTCTCCGCCAACTCGACCGAGGACAACTTTGAAGGCAAGATCGGCGACGTGCAAGAGACGGTCGCCGCCCTCAGCACACTGCGCTCACCATCGACGCACCGCTGTCACCCTCCACGCCGACTTCGCGGAGATCTACGAGGCGCTTGCGGCGCGGCGAAAGGACAACGACAACGACTGGCGGCCGACGCTGCCTCTATGTACTCGAAGCCAACACCTCTGCCGCCTCATCGTCCCAGTTTTTCTTTCCCCCCTCCCTTCCCGCGCCCCGGGCGACATCGGAGCCTGCTCAAACGTCTCTCCATTCCCTCCGTTTTGGCATTCAACCTGGCGCTGGCAGTGGGGCGTGGGGGCCGAGCAAAAGCGGTAGCGCTACCGCCGACGGTGGCGTGCAAGGGCGGCATGCGCCCGCTCGCGTTGGAGAGTGTGACGAAGCGCGTGCCGACGGCAAATATCGGGGCGAGGAGGGTGGCGAGGAAGGTGGTCAATGCGGTTGGGGGATAGGCGCTTGCTGGCAGAGCCTCAGGGTCGACTAGGAGGGTGTAACGGTGAGAGAGGGCACCCGCCGCCGCTCGCGTAGTCCGGCAGTTTCGCAAATGAGTCGCTTGGCCAACTCGAATTCGGGAGCTACTGCCAGTGGACTGCTGTTCCTGCTGCAGGTGAGCGCCATCCAGTTACACAACATCAACCAGGTGTAATGTCGTTGCAGGATTCAAAGTTGTGGTAATAGAAAATTCTTGAAATCCAGCGCTCATTTCCCTCTCTTCTGACCATCAGAGCCTCTTCCGTTCAACCTAAGTATATCCTGTCTCTCTTCCTCTGCTTTATCTGAGCACTACATCTGACGACCACATCTCCACTTGAACCTCGATGGCGCATGTGGCCGAAACCAAGCACCATGGACAACGTCCTGTGCCTGTCCCCCTGCGACGCTCCGCACGCATCGTCGCCGCCGCCTCTGACCGCGCCATCGCTACCAACCCGCCGCCTGCTCTGCGACGCTCTCCTATGCCGCGAAGTCATATATTGCCTCGCGGAGGTCCACGAGAAGACTTACCACAAGACTTACGACGATGTGGTCCACGGCACAATTGCCCCGACCTCCACTTCAAGATGGGGTCAGCGAAAAAGTTGAAGAAACACATGGGAATGTGACCGCGGGGGCGACAAGCGACTCTGGTTCTCATTCGCAACGCGTCAGGGGTATACAAGTGGTGAAGACGAAAGTTTGAGCGACGGCGTGTCGTCGTTGAGTGATGGCGTCTCGCCGCGGAGCAATGAAAAGTCTTACTTAGCTCTGTAGGTTGCGTTGAATCTTGAAACACGGTCCGTTGTCGCTCAATGACCGCACCTCTTGTTTGAGCGACGGGACCTCGTCGCTCAAATATGAGTAGTATCAAATATGAGTCGTAAGTTTGGGCTCCCTAGAGTCGAGAGGCAAAGTGAGTCTCAAAATTCCAAAATTCCATTTGCCTGGTTGAGTCTAAGTCGCCATATTGTTGGAAGCTGAGGTTGAAGTGGCCTGAATTTCAACCTGGCTTTGCCATGGTGAAATGTGCAGCTCTATCTTGGAGAAGCCACGTACAGTATGTACTGTAGAGGAGTCCATAACTGAGGCTTTCACCCTGGCAATGCAAGGGCGAAATCGATTTCGATCAGTTTTCATCAGTTTTTATCCGTTCAACTTGTTTTAAACTGGTATGAAAGCGTACAGGTCCTCACCAGACATCTAGCAGGTTCTCCATCGCCCGCCTAGCTCAATCGGATAGAGCGTCAGACTTTTAAAGCGGGCATTTACAAAGCAATTTGTAAACGGGCATCTGAAGGCTGCGAGTTCGACCCTCGCGGTGGGCTATTCATCTTTTTTTTCTGCTTCTTGGGACCGCCTTTTGCTCGCTGTACCTCACCTGCGATGCTCTTAAAGTTCGGGGAACTCAGTTGAGGAGCCTATACTGTCTGTCGTATTTATATTTCGCAACGGATCAATGAGACGGGAAGTCGGTTCAAGCTGCATTATTGTTTCGAAATATTCCAAGCTCATCCGCTGAGGTTCAAAGCTTTTTTCGAGCAGAAGCAGCGTGTAAGCTGCCCGCCGTTTTCTGCATATACCAGAGTGCGCCGCCAATCAAAGTAATGTATGTTCAACAGTTGTAGAAGAGCGATCGGCACAATCAATGTTGAACTCGGTCCGCAATTCGTCGAGGCTTCACTTCAGGTCTTCTTGATATCTACATCTCCCGGTGGGCTCCTTATTGCATCTAGCAAGATGAGCAAGTCTGAGAGCTGAGTATAGATATGATAGACCGAATTTCTATGAACCGAAATGTTGAATTTTGCGGGACCCGGCCTCTCGATGTTGTATTTTCTCGGGCATCTCGCTGGACCTCGATAAACGTTAACGCAGAAACGCGACGGTGGAGCCCCAGCCTGTATCCTATGGTATCCCATCAACGGCGGGTCCGACATACAGACCTCGGCCGCGCACGACCTCTTGACGAGGGTGAAATCGAAACCAACCAAATTGAAACAAGAGATTTGTGCATGTCTTCACTGTTGGAGGCGGCAGTCGTGCGAAATACTCCCGAGTGCTTCAATACATTGACTCGAGCTCTTTCCGAGCTCATTCCAGGCGGGAACGCGGAAACGACCAAGTTAAATTGACCCAGCTAACCTCGGGTTTTCTCGATACGCGCCTGCATGGCCTCCAAGAAGACATTACTCGTAACAGGCTGCTCAACGGGGGGCATCAGCGCCGCCATTGCGTACGCCCTCGCGAGCCGCGGCCACACCGTCTTCGCCACCGCGCGCAACCCCGCGAACCTCCCCCGGAGCTCACCTCCCACGCCCACGCCACCCCCTCCCCCTGAAAGCGGCGTCCTTCGCCTCCGTCGCCACCGTCCCCGAGGCCGTAGCTGCCGCGGGCATGGGCCTCGACGCGCTCGTGGGTGGGAACTCGAATACATTGATGTTGGCGTCGAAGGGGTTGGTGACCGTGCCCAGCGGGACGGTATCAGCGCTGACGCCGAGCGGCGCGAGCTTGATGCGCAGGGTGTCGGAGAGGCTCGTCAGCGCCTTGGACGAGGCGTAGGTGCCGATCCACGGCGTGTTCACGACCGCGCCGACGCTGCGTATATTGACCGCGCGGCCGCGGCCCGCGACGAGGAGGTCCGGGAAGGCCTGCACCGTGCGCGGGGTGCCCCAGATGTTCGGGTCGTACAGCGCGACGGCGCGGGCGATGTCGACGTCGAGCAGCGGTATCGTTCCGCGTTGGACACGGGGCGTAAACTTGCCGTGTTTTGATCCGAGACTCACGCACCGCGCTTCATAACTGACTCCGGTGACTGAAGCGCAAACGGACAACCGGCCAGCATTCAAAGACCATGACCCAATGTACCGCTTGCAAGGCTGACGAGTTCCCGGACGGTACCAGCGCCTGCTCTCTGTGTGCCGCCACCTTGGCAAAGGCGTTCCAGGACCGCCTCGACATTATGAAGCATAAACTACGAGAACAGATAGAGGCCGTATTCCAATCCTTTAACGTCGAGGCCCTCGCCACAAGGGCTACCAGCGTCATGGGCAAGGAACTTGCATCTGTTTTGCGGATCGCACAAGGAGGGTACAACTCCGTGCGTCCTTGTCGCCAATCTCCCTCTCCATCCCCTGACAAGGTGGTAGATCCTTGCCGTCGCTTTCACCGACGGTACCGATGTCCTTGTACGAATAGCTGGAAGCTATCACAACAGTGACCCTCTGTCCGATGAGCTCGCGACCCTCGTGTTCCACTCCGAAGTGAGTTCTGTTGGTGTGATTTCCAACTCTTTCCTTGAATCTTCCCAGGTTGCTACCCTCAAGTATCTCAAGGCGAACACGTCGATATCGGTCCCCCAAATTTATTACTCAAATTCCGATCCCGCAGAGGCCGGCGCCAGATTCATGATAATAGAAAGGGTGAGGAGCCACTTCCATTCATGGCGTGTGCTTACTACGTACAATCCCAGCTCAACGGCGTCCCTCTTGACAATGTTTGGCAGTCGCTGTCGAATGAACAACAACACGATGTTTTCGCTCAGTGGGTGCCCATGCAAGCCGAGTTGTCAAAGCAGAGATTCAACGCAATTGGATGTCTCACTACTCATGTGGGGGACATCGGTCCTCTTTTACCCTCGTGCCTCGCAGAATACACTCTCCGAAAGCCGCATTGGGGTCCGTTCCGTTCGACTCCAGAATTTTTAGAGGGCCAAGTGTGCTCAGTCCTCGACGGTTTGACCGAAAACAGCATAAAACGTAACTTCTTGGAACACCTTTTGACGGGGATTCGGGCGCTGCCCAGGGAGAAGTTCCACAACGAACATCTTGTTCTTACCCACGGTGACCTCAGCCTCAGTAACATCCTTTACGGGTCCTCGGGCAACATCGCAGGCGTGATCGACTGGGAGGGCTCTAGTGTTCTTCCGGTCTGGGCGGCATTCCAGGATGTTGATTTTTTGTGCTGGATGCCAGATGAGACGGCACTGCGGGAGACTTTAATACCTGCGACGGAGGACACAGCTTTGCCAGTTGCCCTACATCCCATCCTCAGAGAGCTGCTTTCTTTGGCAACTGGGACTGAGGATCCGCAACTTCGACATTTACGTGCGCGTGTTGCCGAGCTCGGAGCGTCGTTTAGTTGGATTTCTGAACCATTCTTGTCGCTTTTGGAGGAATCAATGTTGAGTTTAGATTTACTGTATTGCTGGCCGGGGATTAGGCAAAAACTCCGACATTGGGTGACTTTCCATAACGATTAAAGAACGTTTTCCGAATATTTTGGAAGCTTTCCGACCAAACGCCGCGACAGGTGTCGGGACCCCATCAGTTCGGGCACAGGAAAACGTCAGGAATCTATTCGAATATATTAGAATCTGAAGGAGGGGTCGACCCCCCCTCTTCAGATTAAACGAAAAAGAATAAACTACTTTGGCGGTACCCAGCAACTTGCCGCCAGTGTCTTCGACGACTGAGTGGCCCGCCTGGTTTGAGAAAAATGGAGTGAGCTTACGATGCGTTACGGAGTCCATTCCGTTCCTCCTTCGGTCAAAACGGCACAAGTCATTTCTTCTTTCTTTTGTTAGAAAAATCCAGTGGTTGGCACGTCAGCTGAATATTCCCAAAGTGGCCAGCATCACTGGCACTCTCAAACAAGCTCAGAAAGGCGCGAAAATATGCTATTCGTTATGGAAAGCCACCCATTTCAGTGAGAACAAGGAAAGCGAGTACAAGGTAGTATAACGTCGCGAGGTGAATACAAAACTTGCAGGGAATGGAAAACAAGAACTCAACAGAATATGAACAATTGGGTACGCGCTGGTGCTCGTCGTTTATAGTTCAAGCCAGTTCCGTGCACGTCTCCTCATCCATCCTGCTCACCACTCCCATTATTTATCTTTCAGGGCATGCGCACCGCCTGTCACCCCTACCCGTGTCTGCACGTACAACCGTCCCCTACGTATCTTCCGGTTATTGTGAGAGGTGAGCATAGATAGACCGAATTCCTTCGAACCGAGATGTTGAATTTTGCGGGACCCGGCGTCTCGATGTTGAATTTTCTCGGGCATCTCGGCGTAACCCTCGGGAAACGTAGAAACGCGAGGTTTTGCACCAAATTCGAATCCGCCCTGTACACAATCCTATTCGCTGACCTGGACGACCTGTTGACCAGAGTCAACTCAAATTAAACCCATTCACGAGTTGGAGAGATTTTATTTAATTTCCGCATAGTGGTTGGAGCAAATGCGGTATGTACTCGTCACTCGTGCGAGATATCCCCGACTGCTCCGATGCCTTTATTTGACGAGCTCATTTGCATGATTGGCACCCGGTATGAAGGAGGCGGGAAGGACAAAGTTGAATTGACCCGGCACGGCCCACAGTGGCCGTTTGAACCTCGATACGCGGCTGCATGGCCTCCACTGGCAAGAAGACGATACTCGTAACAGGCTGCTCAACGGGCGGCATCGGCGCCGCCATCGCATACGCCCTCGCAAACCGCGGCCACACCGTCTTCGCCACCGCGCGCAACCCCGACAAGCTCCCCCCAGAGCTCACCTCCCACGCCAACGTCACCCCCCTCCCCCTTGACGTCACCTCCCCCGCCTCCGTCGCCGCCGCCGCCGCCGCCGTAGCCGCCGCAATTGCAACCTTGGGCACAGGCACGGGTTTGGACGCGCTGGTCAACAACGCCGGGCTCGGGTACACCATGCCGCTCCTCGACGTCGACATCGACCGCGCTATTGCGCTGCACGACACGAACGTCTGGGGCACCCTGCGCACGGTGCAAGCCTTCGCAAACCTCCTCGTCGCCGCCCGCGGCCGCGTGGTCAACATAAGCAGCGTCGGCGCGGTCGTCAACACGCCCTGGATCGGCACCTACGCGTCCTCCAAGGCCGCGCTGACCAGCCTCTCGGACACCCTGCGCATCGAGCTCGCGCCGCTGGGCGTCAGCGTCGTCACTGTCATGCTCGGCACGGTCACCACGTCCTTCTACGCCAACACAACCCAAACCACTACCACGGGAACGGGACATACGACGTTCGCGTTCGAGCTTCCCCCAACGTCGCGGTACACCGCCATCAAAGACACCATCGCGCGCTGGGCCTCGGGCGAGGCGACCCCGCGCGGCGCCGCGTCCGCAGACGAGATTGCCGCGTCGCTTGTGCGCGAAATCGTCGGCGAAGGAAGGAGCGGGCAGGTTTGGGTTGGTCCGTACAGCACGATTATGAGGATCGTGTCAAGGTGGCTACCATTGTCGGTGCTTGTAAGGAGCTTCCACATCGTACTTTGCGTATACTCACGAACGGTTGTAGGACAAGCTTATG